CGCATAATCCTTACGGACTGGGCAATGAGCAGACGAGGAAGACGCCGCGGGTGGGACGCGCCTGGGAACGCTTGGTTTGAGCGGGCTTTTCTGGGTCTAATCTGGGCGTGATTTCGGGGCTTTTGCTGACTGGCTTGCACTTTGACTAACAAGAGGGAAACGACACAGCCCTTCGGTGGATGCGGGCGAGACGCCGGGGAACGGCGAGAGGTAGGACGGGGGACGGGGGAGGGAAGACTGCCAAACCAACAAGTCAAAAAGAAGGGCCCAAGGCCGGGACAGGGGAGGATGTAAGAGATTTGTAAGCTGTGTAACCAGAAGATATTCTGACTGGTACGATTGGTGTTACCGCGAGGGAATGAAGCGTAACGGCGGAAGGGGGAGGGGGGGGGGAAACACTGTATTGACACCGGGAGGAGATGACCCGGCAGTCCTTTTTCACACGGCTGCCAGGAAGCTGGAGGCGGTCGTGGAACATGGAATTAGGAAATGATGAGCGCGCATCGTTACAGCCAAACGCATCTTTGTTTTTTACTATCAGGAGACTTGAGGGAAGAGAGATGAGAGATAGCTCCGCGGTCCGTGGAGGTGAGGGAGAGACATGTGCGTCTGGGGGACTACAGGTTCACTTGCTAGCGTGACAGGCCGTACACCCACTACACACCCCCAGCGCGAGATGGAAGGAACGGGGTTGCATGAACTGGACAGGGCGCTGGCCGGGAGTAAGTTTGGCGAGCAGAGGGTATAAAGTTGGCGATGAGGCGGGAGGAGGGTCGAGGGGAGGGTTTGAGTGCCGAGGTGTAGCACAGCGAGCCCCTCACCGGGAGGGCATGAGGGGAGGGGGGCACGAAGGGGAGAATGCGTCACATGAGATGAGCGAGGGAATACAGGGAGACCCTGTGATGCGAGGTTTTCAGGGAAATTTTTTTATTCAGCGCAGGCGAGGCTGATGCAGGGCAATTTAGAAAAGTAAAAATGGTTCATGTGGCGGCGAGAAGTATGGAGTATTCCGTGGTCGTAGCTTTTTAGTGACGTCGACGGTGGTGGTTGAAGAATCGGAGAGTTTCCATTTCGATGGAATGATGGATGAGAGGGGTTCAAGGTGAATTACTCGTGTAAATGGGGAAAAAAAGCCACCAATGAGATGGAGATGGGTTGTCTGACTCTTTTGTGAACAAAGGCTGGAATTGCAAATACCATTGAGAAGTGAGTGAGGGTCAGAGAGGGGGGGGGGGTTGCTTTCTTCTTTGCAATCTCGTCTATGGACCAAGGAAATTCAAAATCCAAGGCAGCAAAAAGAAGAGGACAGAGCTCCACTGATGGCTTGGGAGCTGACAACTTTGCTCCATCATTTTCTGCTTCTTTTTTTCCATGATTATTTTTCATTGCTCTGACTGGGAGAGGCGAGGGAAATGGCCCAGAAGAGAAGAACCCTCGTGCGTCTGGGCTTTTGTGGGGAAAAAAGTCCCGGGCCACACCCCCCCTCCTGCCCCCTAGAAGCGCTGAAAGAATGCCATGATATGGAGATTTTTTTTGTCTCTATTTATTTCCTTTTTGTTCACCTGTTCGTTTTTCTCTCTCTGCAGCTCGTATAGCAGAAAAGAAAAGCCTGATATTTCCGTTTCGGAAACACGCCCCCCCCTCTTCTCCCCGACTTCAGCGCAGTCTTTTGCCGTGCCTGGCCAAGGACAAGTTCATTGTACTGAGCACCAATGTACCAATGTATGTATGTATCCCGTGCGCAGAGGACGGAGTACTCCGTACCGATACAGTAATTCAGTTCGCAGCCTTGGACGCAGTTCTTCTTGTCGATCCAACCCTCTTTTATTATTTGTCATTTCACCGTGCAACGTTCATACAACCCTTTCCCTCCCCCTCGCACAGAAAAGCCTGTTGGTGCCAACGGTCGTCACAAGAAAAAAAGGCCAAGCTGTCGGTTCTTTAGCACCAAGCACCAACAAGTCTATAGTAGCTCTTCCCCTCTGTTCGGGTTCTATTTTTTTGCCCTTTATTTAGCATCCCGCTTTGCTAAAATGATTAACCGCCAAAAATAAAGAACATCCATCTGTGGCCCCAAGCCCATCACAGACTAGCCAGTCAAGGATAGACCTGGCACTATAAATTGGCGATGATAGAGCTGCCAGCTAGTTAGTTAGAGAGGGGGAAAGGCCAAGATAGGTCAGCCTGGCCTAGCCCAGCCTGCCCCGGGGCCGCTAACTAGTTGATAATAACTAGATGAGATAAATGGCAGGGAGGCAGGCGGTTTCTAGTTGTTGCTGGTTTGAGACGGACAAGAAGTGAATGAAGATCAAACGGGCGGGAACCAAGGGCGCGGCGAGGAATAGCCGCATAAAGCTCTCCCTACCTGGAGGCGAGATGCGCGCATGACTTGACTTGATGGGGGAGAGCAGGGAAGTTGAGCTGAATGAAAAAAAAAAGGTCAACTGGAAAGCGTATTTGCATCGTATACGGAGTACATGCTCAGTACTGGTGCGAGCGTATCGCATACATGCTCGTTGTGGTGCCGCCACAGTTCCACCTCCCTGGTCCTGGGTCTTTCAGCCTCCTCGCTGTTGTCTGAGCAGTTGTCCAATGATGTTGCGGCCCTTGGAGCCTTGAACTTCTTTTCCTTGCCATTGCCCATTTTCTTTTTTTATTAATCCCGCCTTTTTCTTGTTCAATTTTCTGCCCCATTCTCGAGTCAGGGCGCTAGACTGGTGTTGGCACTTGGCCGGTTGCGAGCTCTCCATCGCCCACCCCCCCCTCCTTCCCTGCTCTGTCTGACCTTGGCCATCGTCTTTGAAATCTTGAACCACTCCCCTTGTTGCAGTTGTGATCAAGACATGTCTATTCCACGGTGCAAGGGGAAAAAAAAAAAAAAAAAAAAAAAAAAAAAAAAGCTGGGCCGAATGCTACTGGCTGGTCCCGGCAAGATCAGCAACCAAGCATGTAGACTGGGTCTGTCTGGATAGTGGCCGAGATGAGGCCCCCATGCGCCGCCTTGTAGCTATCGCGACAAAGGACGGGGTTTCTGTTATTCAAGACTTGTCGAATTGGCAGAGAGCTTGTTGATGGGTATCACGGCTCATCATGTCTCTCTTTATCTGTATGTACATGCCTTCCTTGGTTTTGAGCAGGCGTCTGGGGGTACGTGGTTGGCGACATGCATTATCCCAGTCTTTCAGTGTTCAGCACACCCACTCATCATCAATCCACCCATCCATCATCCATCCAACCACCAGTCCTGTTCTCCTTCTGTCTGTCTTTTTCTCATCAGACTCCTCATTATTAGTCCTCACTCCCTCCCCGCCCAAGCCAATCCAGCCATCATCCATCCAATCCATCCAACAATCCACACACACCCACCCGCCACGACCATCATCATCACAAGTGCACCACCCACTCACCACCGCCGGCGCACCGCACCGTACTGCGCTGCACTGCAAACACCCAGCTCCGACACGCACATTGCCTCTTGTCCATCCTGACCGGCATCCTCGTCCTCCTCATCCACTTTGTCCTCGTCTTCGGCTTCCTCGCCCTCGCTTTTCCACCCCCTTCCGCCTCCGCCGTCGCCGCTCTCTCCCAACCAGTGACCGACTGACCTTTTCTCCTCTCCGCTCGCGCACACGCAGCCAGCCAGCCAGCCTGCCTGCCAGCCAGCCATACACACAGTCCAAACCCCAGACCCGGGCCACCACTTACCACCCACCACAAGCCGCCAACCAACCACACAACCGGCCAGAAAAAAAAAACATATACCGCTTTTGCGCCACTGTCCTCCTTGCGCGTCTGTTCATCTCCATTCATCGCCAAAATTTTAACACAATCCACCGTGTCTCTCGTCGCCTGCCCCCTTTTGCCAGCTTGTCAAAAGTTTGACCTCTTGCTCTCCGCCCCCGCGTCGCGTCACCTTAGCCAATTCCAACATCGCCACTACTTCACCTCCCCTCGTTCTACCTGCCACCAACAAACACGCCATCATCGCCACCCCCCTCCCAACGACCAGGAACAAACCTGCCTAGTCTCTCGATCTTGACTTGGTCTATTTATTATTTTTTACATTATCCTCTTATTCTTTTTGGTCTGATCTCGCCCGGCCGCCTCTTGCCACGCACACCCCCCCTCCTTCCGGCGCTACTCACGCTAACCCGAACGCACTACGACCTTCCAACCTCACTTTGGGGACGCTACTCGAACAACTGCAGCCTCTATCCCCAGCCCAGCCCAGCTAGACGGACTGACAGACAGAACTGCCTGCCAGCCGTACCGTGTACCGCATACTGCATACCGTCATACTTCCGTTACCTCCTGTCCTCGCGTCTTTTATTTTATTTTTTAAAACCTTCCTCTTACCAAAAGAGAAAGTCTCTGCCCCCCCTCTGGCTAGACCCAAGCACCAAGAAAGCCCTTACCGGACGCGGCAAGCCTCGACCCAAAAAGCTAAAAGCTAGTGTACCCGGGCAACCTCGTCGCCGTCGCCGTCGCCGTCGTCGTCCATCTCTCTCTCGACCGTCCGCGCTCGCTCGCTGCTCTTCCCAGCTCCTTTTTCTTGCTTCCCGGTGCATGCTCGACAGCGCCCTGCTTGCAATCGCGTACCGCTTGGCGTTCCGCTCGCAACCTCATCGTCCTTGTCCGTTCAAACAACCCCAAGTTCAACCACCTTCGACGAATCGATACACACCCTCCTCCTTCCACCAGTCGGCCGCTTGCTGCTAGTACCAAGCTACTCCTTGCTAGCACTCCTGCTACTGCCTTTCCCGCGACGCCAACACGCGCTACACTCCCAACTCTCTCTTCCCACGCCTCCAAGGACTTTGGGACTGCCTTCTCTCAACCGCAGGTACTTTGCGCCTGTACATCTGGACATCACCTCTACCCCATAACCCTTCTTCCCACGCGCCTCCTCTGTTGCCCTCCGCTTCCCGCTTGTTGCCTCGCCTCTTTCTCTGCCTTACCCTTCCCATCACCTTCCCATCCTCTCCTCGGACACCAACTATATGGACCGCACCGCTCCCGACTTTTCCCAGCAGACAGGATTGCCTTCGCCTTACCCTAGCAATTTTGGCGGCGACGCTCATTCCGAAGCTTCATCTGCAGACCAAGCCTCTGCCCCCTACCCTCCTCCTCCCAAGGACACCGCTGCTTATCCCGCTTCCGCCACGCCGGCCTCTGAGTACGGTGTTTACCCTCCGCCGTCGAGATCGAGCTCTGCCTACCCGGATCACGTCCAGCGTCAATACAACCCTGCCTCATCCCCCTCAACCGGCAGTATGGCGCAGCAACAACAAAACAGTCCGTCTCTGCCCCAGTCGGATGGGCGAAGCCATCAAACTCCCATCGTCAATTCTGACAGCCAAGTGCCTATAGATCCGTCCATTGCCCAGCCCAGTCCTACCTATCCCTATGGACAGCACTCTCCCTACGCGCCCAACCCGGACATGGCGGCGCACAGCTACTCTCACCCCAACTCTAACATGTACGCCCAGCCACGGCCTGAATGGGGAGGATATCAGCATGGCGGTGCTCCTCTCACCCCAAGCCATGCAGTCTATGGACAGACGGCTGCCGCTCCTCCTCCTCCTCAGCGCACCAACCAGGTAAGCCCGCCGGCCTCTCTGCGGTAGCGACGCTATGCGCCGAGACGCGTATCAGGCGCGAATCAATGCGACAACTGAGCGACGGCAAAGACGCCCTGTCTAAACTCACAATCACTTTGACCATAGTTGCTGACACTTTGCTCTCTCCCAGCAGGTCTACTCCTTTGTCCCGATCCCTGGCGCTCAACAACACAAACGCCCCCGCCGTCGCTATGAGGAAATCGAGCGCATGTACAAGTGCGGCTGGAACGGCTGTGAGAAGGCCTATGGTACTCTGAACCATCTCAATGCCCATGTTACCATGCAGTCGCACGGCCAGAAGCGTACACCTGAGGGTAAGTGTTTCCACGGGTCTTGCAAGCATCTGCGGTTCTCCTCTTGGCCAAACCCCGCTGCATCCTTTGGCCCAATGTCGCGACAGAATAAACCGCGACAAGTGTTGCATTCACTGCCCCGTCGATGCCGTCCCTTGTGCTGCACTGGGTTCGCTTGGACTACCAGTTCTTGCGCGCTCGCGTGTTCTTGCTAGACGTGTGGCTGGCACGCCGGAGCCGCACTAGCGTGATGGCCCAGCCACACAAGGCGGTGCAAACCTGGCGAGCCAAGCGGAGAGGAGTTGGAGAAAAAGCCACAAGAAAAAATAGAAGTAGAGAATTAACGCTAACGATGAAATAGAATTCAAGGAGATTCGCAAGGAGTGGAAGGCTCGCAAGAAGGAGGAGGAGTCTCTGCGCAAGGCCGAGGAGGAACGCCAGCGTACCGCAGCTGCCAACGGTGGCCAAGATGGCGGCCATGATGCTCAGGCTTCGTCAAACTACGCCGGCTCCAGACCTCAGGTTCAACTGCCGCCTATCGGATACCAGCCTCAGTATCCCGCACCTCCTTCTGGTGTTGCTCAACAGCCACTGCCGGAGTACGGCGCTACGGGCCACATGTACCCCAGCTACCAACCGCACTCGCCGTACGGTCAGCCTAACCAGAACATATACGGCCAGTGTAAGCAAGCCTTCAACGACGCGATTGACCTGCAGCAGCCACTGACGCGTGTGTTTAGCCAACGGCGGCCAGCCTCCCAACCACTAAAACACCATTGAGCGAGTAGCGTCTAGACGATCAAGGCACCTGTACGATACGGAATTTTCATGACCATCCTTGGTGCGACGACTTTTCCTCTTGACAAGGTGGTGGCAAGATACACGAACCACTCACTCGTGGAGATTTGATTTCCTTTCGCTTTGTGGACCTGGAAGACGCGGTGTCGTCTATGATATTGTGGAGGGCGGAGTTTGGACGTTGCAGATGGGCAAGGCTGGCCTTGGCCAGTCGCTCCATACCTGGTTTTACGGGGTCGGTTCATTGCTTTTATTCTACGGGGCGGAAATCTGCTTTCAATACATGACGACGGCAAAAGTTGGGTACAACCTAATGAACAGAGTCGGACAGGAAGGTTTCCCGTTGCCGCAAGCCGCGAAACTGTCATGCCGACATGGATGGATTGTTGCAATGATACCTTTTTGTTTTGGGGGTGGCTATTGTCAATTTGTTTGTTTTTGTTTTTGTTTTTGTTGCTTTCTTTAATCTTGTTGTCACGGGCTGGTGACTCGGAGCTGAGGCTTTCTGAATCCCTTTTGGTTTTTTTATGCTTTGTTTGTTTTGACGCTTTGGTGATTACACTTGTAACCTGCCGTGCTTTCCTTTTGGACATTTCTTTTCGGGGATGGTTACATTTGATGATTGACGCTTGGACTTTGCAGCCTTTGAGCATTGCGGTTCCAGGCTTATATGGGCGGCCAAGACTTGAAAACAAAATTCTCTCTAGTTATTGTTTGTTTTTGTTTTTATCGATTGTCTTTTTATCGAAGATGGATTCTTGATTTCATCGTTTGGGTGCTGCGTGGCTTTGACCACTGGAAGCGGCAGGAGGTTTCTTGTCCAAGGCAAAGATGGGCTGCGCCTCGCGGCGGATACTTTGGAGAGAAGGCCAAGGAGACAAGAGAGAAGTATCAATTCACAGCACTTTCTACATTTTGTTTTCAAAAGCATGTAGGCAATGATGATTGGTGACTTGATCCGGGTGATGTGATGTCTGAAGCGGTAAAAGCCGCATTCAGTCACTTGCTCACTGACGGACTGTGCATGCCCCTGCTGTAAACATTTGAGGGAGGGGAGAATAGAAGAAAGTAGAAATCAATTTCTTTTTTGCTGCAGAAAGAGTCTTGTTGTGCTCCTCTCTATGCGGTTGGCTAGCTGATGACGTGTAGTTGGCACGTCGCGCACATGGCCAAATAGATGGTGTGTGCCAGATTACCGAATGCACCAATCTGGCACTAACAAAAATAATACGGAGTACCTTGGGGGATCAATCTATCTCGCGGATAGTCGCATGGGCATTAATCCCAGAGGAGGATAGAATCATCCAATGTCTGACTAGCTAGTGCCGTGCCCATGGCTTTTTTTTTTCGATCCAATTCACCCTTCCCACGAAGGGGGCCCTTTTCAACTAGTAAAAATCTTGAACTAGTATTTATAGTGAGAGGAATCGACAACGACGGCGCCGGGAACTATGAGGAGGAGGAGGGGGTGGTTTTTTTTGCTGGCTAGACTCCAAAAGTTGTTAGCGGGATCGGAGGACAAGATGGCGAAGATTTTAGCGAATGCTATTATTATAAAACAAAATGTTATCAGTCATATCGGCGATTTGGAACTAAAAGAATTTTGCGGGCTCATCGACAAGATGGGTGGTGGACGCCAAGGGGGGCGCTGCTGATGATGTCGATGAGAATTATTAGGCGTCGATGTTTTTGTATCATGCAGGCCTTTGGAGGCCGTTGAGAAGTCGACGCCGCGTTTGATTTTTGATTTTCCTTTTTTCTACATATCCACACACTCTTCAAAGGCCCGACCGTCTTTTTCGTTCTCTCATCCTCGGACACACGGACTTTGTGAGTTGTCATGACGGGCTCTGACTTGGCCGCATCTGTTCGCCTGACCTTTCTCTCTCTGCACGACGGGCAAGCGAGCTCTGCACACACACACACACACACACACACACACACACACACCGTAAGACGGCCTGGTATGTACACATGTACGTCAAGCTCAGCCTCACAGAAAAATGGTTCTCGACCTCGGGTTACACAACATTACGGGGGGGGGGGTGTTTTTTTATCTCATTGTTCTACTTTGCTGCGCCCGCTATGAAACAAGAGAGGTAAGCAAGGTGACAGGCTAAGCCCTATGCCGGCAGATATTAGCACCGATACGTAGAGACAACGCACTTTTCATCGAAGCTATTTGTTCAGCGCCGCCCTTTCCGTGCTTTGAGGAGGACCAACTACACTCTAACCTGCACTTGCTTCCGTTAGGCCCAGCGTTCATCACACATTGGGCTCTGGGGAAGAAACAGGAGGGGGGCGTGCAGGCGGTGACTGACTGGCATTAGCAGGATCGGTGTTCAAACTAGACTTGGTAGATGCCGATGGAGGGAAGGAAAGGGGGGGGGGGGCTTACTATCCCCGCCATGTCAAATGATTAAACGCATGATTCAGGTTTGCTGGCGGTGGAAGAAGAAGCGATGACGGCGACGGGCGTTTGCTTACCTTGGTTGTTATCAGATATTATGCTCCGTTATCAAATATGCCTCTTTGTGGCGTGATGACAAACAAAGAAAAAGTCATGCTCCCAGGGTGGGTGGTCGGTCATGCCCTCAATGGGAACGAGGATGATGATGCCAAGGGTAACGTGGTATATGCAGCCGAGTTGTCATTATTCTTGCTTCCTTCTTTCCTCTCTGTCCTCGTTTCTGTATTCAGAGTTAATCAACCTTGCATCAAACACGGTTTACCAAGACGGGAAACGCCACACCGACAAGGGAATCCTTGTGGTGACCGGTCCGCGTGTTCGTTTGTCAATGCTATCGACAAGGGAGACGATGAAGACATCTCCGAACATGGCCGTCGAGTAGATGAGACAAAGGGGGAGGGGGGAGGGGTGTGTAACGAGACAAAACGGAAAAACAGCTCGGAACAATGCGGGCTAAACAGAAAAATACCTGCTTGCTTTGTATGAGTATTCAGTCAGTCAGTGTTATCGAGTGTCAGTGCGGGAAAAAAAGGGGGAGGGGGGG